CTGACCTGTGGTCAGGTGCATTGTTTTGCCCAATCACAATGCACTTTCAAGGCACTGTCAGCCTGCCGAACGCCCGTAACGTTCGTGTGTTCAGTGAACTTAGGTTTGACTTGAACATTCAGCCCAACACTACTCAGGACAATCACTCTGCTAACTCCTTGACTAGGGTACAAAACATGCTTTGACACCAACATTGCCTGACCACCACTCCATTTACTATTGCCATACATGTGTAACCACACATAACACAGAGTTTAATGGCCATTGCAGCTTATTAACAAAATATAAATAACAAATGAACATATGAACATTCAGTACAGTGTTAATGGAGCTCCAAGTTCCATGTAGGCATCTACTTCAAGTACCTTTGTAAAACCGAAAATTAGGCCTCCACCCACAAAAATGACTTGAAAACAGACCAATAATCACAGATACTACCAACCCAAATAATGGGAACTGTACTCAAGACAGGTCTCTACAAATGTATATAGGCTGGTCTAGTCTGCTTTCTCCACTGTAGGTGGCACTTGGCCTAAGCAGTACCACAGCCTGGAGTGGAAGTCAGGAGAAACCTACTTTCTCTATGGTTTCCTGCTCCTTGAAGGCAGCATTCTGGTTCACTATTCTTCATCCAGGTGACCCCTGGTGACCATCATGGGTCAGCAGGGGCTTTATATGTTCCTGCTTCCAGATTTTGGCTTACTTTTGTGTAGTGGTTGGAGTAGGGAAAGAGCACTTATCTCTGAGGGAAAGCATTAGTGACAGGGCAAGATTCCTGACATTTAGGGATTAGCTAGGGACATGTAATCCTGCTACAGAATCCTCCCCATTGGGACCAGACCAGCCAAGCCACATTCCACCCTCTGAAGACAGATGCTGTTGGTGCATCTTTACCAGCTGTATCTCTGCATTGAACAGTACTGTGAGTGTTACCTGAAGCTGCGTTCTCCCACTGGGATTGTTTGTTGAGATATCTGCAACCAGTGTCTGTGTCATTACTGCCACCACACCACATTGCACCTCCCCAGATGTACCACTCTGCCTATAATAAAAACACATCCAAGGACATAACAACTACACAGAATCCCATTGCCCCACCAACTGCCATGACATAACCACAAAAAATCCCATAATACTAGCAAAATACCAAACAACAACCAGAAACAATAAGGAAGGGTGGGCGGGAAGTTGTCTTAAGGCAACCTCTCCTCCAACTAAAGACTTCCAAAGACCCTCCAATGGACCCAACCCCTAAAGCCTCACCTACTTCTGCCCTATCCACCAATCCAGTAAATACCACTTGAATCCTGTTTACTTTTAATACACCAACAGACCCCTCCTATGTCAAACTTCTTTTAATGCGATCATGTTGGCCCTGCATCTAAGCTTCTCCTTCTTTTACTCTGGACCTAACTGATTTAGCATATGCCTGGATCAGCTTTACTGCTTCCTATTTTGGCTACCTGCTCACTATACAGGGGTACTCATGCTAATTCATTGTTCAATGAGCAAGCTGGATGTAGAGAGGTGACATAGGAAACTAAATCGCTGAACACGGAAACAAGTGTTCATCTAGTTGTAAAGCGCTAAAGAGGTGTGCAATTCAGTAGAATAGTTAAATATAATTATACATCTTCTAATGTGTAACAATGAATGTATTTCAATAGCAAATATGGCTGTTATTCATTCACAGATGTAAAGAGGGTCCACGTGGGGACCACACATCTGCTGTTATTGTAATAAAATGAATTTATTTCCACTAAATTTGCTTCACATTCTGAATTATCCAGTACAAAAAAGGCACGAAAAAGTAAAAAAATCCAAAAGAAAAATAGAAACAGTTAAAAAATAAAAAATATTATTTATTATAGGTACTTACTGTATATAACACCATCAACTTACACAGCGCTTTACATACAGTATATATATGTTGTACATTCACATCAGTCCCTAACCCTCAAGGAGTGTACAATCTAAGGTCCCAAACTCACATTCATACATACACATACTAGGGCCGATTTAGACAGAAGCCAATTAACCTACCAGCATGTCTTTGGAGTGTGGGAGGAAACAAGAGTACCTAGAGGAAACCCAAGCAGGCACAGGGTGAACATGCAAACTCCAGGCAGGTAACACTGTGGTTAGGATGCAAACCAACAACCCTAGTGCTGCTAAGCAGAACTGCTAGCCATTTAGCCACTGTGCTGTTCAAAAACACATCCTAGCAATTTCCCACAACCAATTTGGGAATAAAGGTGGTAGGTTGAACCGCATCCACTCCACGCAAATAAAAAAAAAAAATATTTTGAGGAGTTCTTTCAACTTTAAAAAGTGATGTATTTGTTTCAAGTTTAAAATTGCTGCATTTGGAGACAGTAGTTTCTCAAGTATTTGTGACTTAAGTTTACAAACAGTTCTAATAAAATAAAAAATTCACTTCCTGGATTAATAGCCACTCAAGCACTGTCTCTAGTATCATACACCCACAGATACTGCTTTTCAAAGGTCACATCAATGATAAATAGTTAAAATGTATTGTTCCAAGGAGAAAAATCAAAATAATCCAATTTTTAAAGCACTCTGGCTACAAAGTGAACAGGGTTGATGAATGCCTCTAAATCAATATGTGATATAAAATATAATAATTTATCTAACCACATAAAAGTATCGATATCTGTAACCACAAATGAGTATGTTTTATAGAAAACTTTTTTTTTTATTTTAAACATGTAAAGGTAAAATAAGCAAACACATTTAAAAAGTAAACAACTCATTCACTCTTGACTGAAGGACAGAAACATTTGGATTTTTTTTCATCAAACATTTTCTAAATGTATGGCCAGAATAAGATCAGATGAGAACCATTATTATAAATTAAATGTCTAGGGGGTATATTATTTAGAGGTTAATAGTGATTTTGCTAACATTAACATCTTCTGCTGCTTGTTTAAAAATCAGTTTGATTCTTCCATTTGGCAAGTACCACACAGTACTGAATCTACTAAATTAGAATTCTATTATCTCTTATAGAAGGTTTCTAACAGTTTTTGGAATCTTTTGGCTTGAATCTTTTTACTTCCCAGGAACTGGAAAATATTTTTCTAAGCTAATTTACAGATAGAATATTGTGCTATTTTTCCTACTGTAATGGGAAAATTTTGCATTTGACGTTTATCCATAGTGGCAGCATTTATTTCTTCAGGTTTCAACCAACATTTGTCCCCAGTGACGACTGAACAATTTTTTTTAATCTACATTTGCAAAAAAATCTTATTTTTTGAGAGAACGTAATGCTCCTGGTGCTTTATGTGATATTCTTCTTTATTTCATATTTTTTTTCAAAGAAAAGTGTAGTTTAGGGTGCCGCCGTTACATTCTGTTTAAATAGCATGCTGAGCTTTCAAAAGGAACTTTAATGATTTCTGCTGTTAATTTGCTGTTTAAGATGTTGCCATCTCTACTAGGAAAGGGGGAGAAGAACTTCCATCTACTGACATCTATGATCACAGCAACTTTTTTTTTTATTATTAATATATGAACTTATATAGCACCATCAATTTACCCAGCGCTTTACATATACTGTACATTTTGTACATTCACATCAGTCCCTAACCCCTCAAGGAGCTTACAGTCTAAGGTCCCTAACTCACATTCATACACATACTAGGGCCAATTTTAGAAAGGAGCCAATTATCTTATCAGCATGTCTTTGGAGTTCAAGAGAAAACCAGAGTACCTGGAGGAAAGCCACACAGGCACAAGGAGCACATACAATCTCCAGGCAGGTAGTGCTGTGGTTGAGATTGAAACCAACGATCCCAGGGCTGCCAGGAGGAAATGTTAACCATTTAGCCACTGTGCTGCCCACTTTAAGACATCTAGAGAGATTATTGATGATGTAGAGAGGTCAACCTGATGGCTGTAAGTGGTAAGTATAAAATATTAATTAGACCAAATAAATTATTAGTATACCTAATAAAGAAATGCAAGGTTTGCTTATTTCCAAGCCCCTCAAGCCCCCAAATATACACAGATATTTTAAACGTAAACCTAGGATTACTTCACTCGGTCATGATGCAAGGTCAGCTTTAGCACATTGTATTTATCTGTTTAAATTAAAAACTATCATCCTAATGTTTCACTACTGAACATTATACATATATATATATATATATATATATCCCTTTACATTGCCTTTAAAAGTGTTTGGACAAAAGTGGGAAAACTAGGAAACCATTCTGAGGACCTTCTTTTTATACAGGCCAGGTGATTATTAACAATTCTCGCATCTCGATAGAGATGTTTATTCTGTAGAGATCTTCCACCGCTTGGATTATGTTTATGATCAGTATATTACATTCAAAAAACACAAAAACACTTTGCAGATTCCAGAGGGTCGAATATACATTATAAGAAAAACAAAAATGGTTAACACTCAGATAAATTCATACTTAGCACAAGTAAAGTCACAAGAGAAACACAGTAAAATACAAGAAATACCCCAGCACACTTACCTGTTAGTGAACAAAACACACTAACTTAAACTGCTTGAACAATTTGTTGCAAAAACAACGTCTTAAAACTTGCATACATTTGCACAAATATATAAAACCACACTGCCAAGCCAAGGTACCTCTGCAAAATGTGGATCCTAATTATTTCATATTGGGACATGCTGTATATATCAACAAATACATTGATGGCAGCTATGCCATGAAAGTAGCTCGTTCTTCCTTAAAGTGAATCTGGCCTGTGCCCAGACTGTGCACACTTACATATTTCTTATTATTAAATCCCGTAAAAACCAGCTCTCACTCACCTGCATAGTTATATGCTCTGCGGTCAGTAATGAACTGAAAGCTGAGTTTAGAGCCTCTGTTTTGATCTGTGAGGATCTTTGAGATTCAATCTCTTCACAGTACAAGCAGCCAAAGAGGTCAGGAAGGGCTTGTTTTAAAGCTCTTACTGCATGTACACCAATGCTGGTGGGTTATTGATACAGTTAGAACCAGGGGCGGACTGACAACTCATGGGGCCCCCGGGCAATAGGGGATCATAGGGCCCCTGTGTCCTTGCCCAAACTCAAAAAAGCCTATGAAAAAGGTACCAAGGGCATCTCATGGGGCCCCCTACTGACCACGGGCCCTCGGGCAGTGCCCGAGTTTCCAAATGGTCAGTCCGCCCCTGGTTAGAACTGACCACCAGTGCTGGGAGGAGGGTTGTTACAGCCAGCCGCTGACTACACCAGTGCTTGGGGTTATTAGTCCTGCCAATGACACCAGTGCTGGAGGGGACTAATTACTATGGTTCCAGCCAGCAACTGATAACAAATGCTGGGGAGAGGTTTATGGTCCCAGCCAGCCATTGACCACAAATGCTGGGTCAGGGGTGTATTGTCACAGCCAGTTATTGATCACCATTGATGGGGGGGATTTAATGTTGATGCTACTGACCACCATTCGGAGTGGGGGGTTAGCCACTTACACAGTATGCTGAAGGTATGCTGCCAATAACACCAATGATGGGGTTTTAATATTACTGTAACTGACACCAATAATGGGGTTTCTTTGCTTCCATACTACAATCCATACACCATAAAGAAACACCCACTTTATTAACCATGCCTCCATGTTTTCAGTGACCAGCTGCAATTTCCATTTGATAACTTCAAGGTCTCTCCAAGTTAGTTTTTACATTTATTGTGTCTTTCCTAACAATGCAGGATATAGCATCTCTGAGCTTCTGCACATCAAAGGGATTGATATGGTAAATTCAGTCTACTGTAAGTTGCATTGGTGAATACGGGTGTTGCTGTCCACCCTCCACAAGTCTCTTCTTCTCCCACCACCAGCAGGCAGGAAATTTATTTCATTATCATTACTGAAAAGAATTGAAATGTATGAGGGGATATAAAATGATCTACCTTGGGTGCTAGATGTGCTAGGTATGCCAGTGGTTAGAGCTACTGCTTTTGTTATTGTCTGTGTGCCTGCTCAAGAGATTCACCATTTCTCTTTGCCTTGGTGACCATTATCACCAGAACAGAAAAATCCAACATGTTACATAAATATCTTTGAAACAGAAGGTGAGAGGACATCTTCCAATGGAAATACCTGACCTGGTGACAACTGTCTCACTTTGAAAAGATTTCTACGTTATTCCTGTTGTGTCTGCAGTATGGGAAGTGAAATCTCTATGTAAAGAATCAAGAAGGATTATTAATACTATTACAAAGTTAATAAGAGTTTGTGTCTCCAAAAGATATAATAGTTTGTTTATCATCTGCTGTTATTCGATCATTCAACCAACTGCCATACAATACTCAAATTCACAAAATAATAAAGGGCTCATCTAATCCTTTAGCTACTCGGAAGATTATATTGAATTTGGTAAGATACTCTGTCACTTTATTATCCAATCAATATTATTGGATACCTCATCAATAATGTCCTACATGAAGTTTATTTGTGCTTAGCGTACTTAGAAAAGATCTTTAATAAACAATTACTGCAATTTCAAAATGCATTTCAATGTGAGTGGATCACAGGCGATAATCCCTTGATGTCCACATAAAATGTCAGCCTTGACCTACCCCTTATTATCCTTCAGATGAATTGTTACATCGTCCTACCTTCTTCTTTGCTCTGATATAGTGATATGCCAATGTTTTTATTTCAAGTCAGCAGCAAATTCCTGAGCGTAATCTTGAGTTAGATAAAATCCTACAAAGATAAATAGTTAATCAATTCACCAGTGGCTTAGCGGCCATTGCTGGCAAGGAATTTAAATGTCATAATTACAAAAGAAAGAAGGGCAGATTTGCTCTAATATGGTACCTTAGTGTTAACACTTTTTAAAATTTTTTATTGTAAATGCTAATCAAAGACGAATGGATTTTTTTTCTGTTAGTAGTCTAAACTAAACAACCTGTCAACATAAAAAAATGAGCAATGTGATGAGCATGTGTCTTGCCCAGTTCATTTTACAGTGGTATAAACTCATTGGGGCTTTTTTACTAAAGCTGGAGAGTGCAAAATCAGGCTCACTTCTGCATAGAAACCAATTAGCTTCCAGGTTTTATTGTCAAAGCTGAAATGAACAGGCTAGAGGTTAGAAGCTAATGGGTTTCTATGCAGAATTGAGCCTGATTTTCACTCTCCAGCTTCAGTAAATAAACCCCATTGCTTTGTCTTGTCTTGTCTTTAAACTCAGAAAATTGTATGATTCATTGTAAGGTGTTAAAGATGTGTCCAATTCCCATTCATAAAGAAAGTGCATGAACTACCATACTGAAGAGAAGGATTAGATGTAGTATTTCTGGTCGGATGGACACAAATATGAAAGTAGTTCTTAAAGTAATACTAAAGGCTCCTTTTTTCCCTAAAATAAAAAAATATGGTATACTTATCTTTTCTGTGCAGTGATATTGCACAGAGCAGCTCCTTACCTCCTCTTCTGGAGTCCTCCGCTGGTGTTGTCTGCAACTCCTCTCCTATGTGTGCACCCATAGCAAAACTGTGTGCTATGGGGGCACTTGTGTGGGCTCACTCCTGAGCTGGGCTGTGTGCATCCATAGACACGCACAGTGCAACTCAGCCATGCCCCCCCACTCCCTCCTAACAGGAGTAGGATCTTTGTGCTGTGTGTTCTTTAAGAAGAGGAAGAGAGGAGAGAGTCACTGCAGACGGGCACAACACCTGATCAAGAAAGGACTCAGGTAAGTGTTCAAGGATGGGTGAGAGCACCAGCTAATGGAAATTTTTTTACCTTAATGCAGAGAATTCATCAGGGTAAAAAACCTTTTGAATGTAGAACCACTGTCAGGGATCTCCTCGATCCCCACCGCGATGGTCCCGGCGCAGGCGCAGTGCACCGCCCTGTGCAGGGACACGGGCACTAGGTCCGGGCCGGCCGCGGCGTTCGAGTTCGCGCATGCGCAGTAGAAGCCGCGGCCGCCCGCTGGGCACCAATGGCAGCGCAGGGCGGGATATTTAAATGGCCCTGAGCTGTCATTCAGTGCCTTCTGGTCTTCCCTGCATCCTGTGAACCTGTGAACCTGTACCCTGTAAGTTTTGACCCGGATTGTACCTGACCTTGCTGCTTTATCCTATTCTGACCCTTGCTTTGCCTGACCTCTCTCCTGAATGCCCCTGATTGGATTTGACCTACTGTTGCTGACCTGGCGTGTGACCCGACCATTCTATGCCCGCTGCCTTGTACCTTGCCGTCCTCTCTGTTACCGACCCGGCCCATCTGACCTTGCTCATCCATCCATCCATCCCTTGCAGTGGGGTCTTCTGACCTCCTCACATCAGACTCTTCCCCGTGGGAGCCCTTGGCGCATACCACTACCACTGCCGGACGCACCCAGTAGCCACGACCTGGTCTCGGGGGGCTCCAAGTCCATCCCCACCATCAGGGGCCCTGGTGAACAAGCACCCTGGGACTTAGATTCCATGCGCTGGGGACGCCTATTCAGTGGAGAGCTAGTGGTACCGCCAGGCGGGTCCCTTACAGTCACTTTAAATGATGGCATCTCTAATGGCTAGCGGGTCCTTGGAATGTCAGTGATATATACAGTAAAAATAAGAGAACATCACAGATATTTTGGAAGGGTTGAATAAGTCTTAATTAGTCTCATAGAGGTCACAAAAAACATTTGACACATTTCATTGGCCCCCCCTCCATCTCAGTAATGAACTCCTTGAGCCTACAACAAAAAAAAAAATGACTGATTTAGCCAAAATACCTATATTTCTTTATTATTCTCTTTAGTAAATGAATCAAGGTGGCACAGTGGCTTAGTGGTTAGCACGTCTGCCTTGCAGTAAATGGGTCATAAGTTTGATTCCCGACCATGGCGCCTCCTGCATGGAGTTTGCATGTTCTCCCTGTGCTTGCATGGGTTTCCTCCAGGTACTGCGGTGTCCTCCCACACTCCAAAGATATGCTGGTAGGTTAATTGGCTCCTGTCTAAATTGTCCTAGTTTCATCCCTAGCCATGCGGGATCTCCTGCATGGTAGGGGTTGGGGAAAGACCTGGCAACCTACATTGTAAAAATAATTGCTAAGAGAATTCATGGAAAAAGTCGCTTATGAGTGACAGTCCATGCAATTGCCAAAGGTCAGATATGACTGAATAGATAGATAGATATGAATCAAAGAAAAGCATGAGAAAGAGATAGATGGGAAAAACTGAAAGAGAGTAAATAGAGTATGTGTACAAAGGGAGACTCAGAAGCAAATTGCTACTGAGTTATTTTGGCTTGTTTCAGAGTTACTTTGATTTTCCTTTGAGTTGTTTAAGGAGTTGCTTTGGGCAGCTTTCAGGTTTCTATGAGTTATTATTATTATTATTAATATTCAGGATTTATATAGTGCCACCAGTTTATGCAGTGCTTTACAACAGTATAGTTACAAATACAATTCAATATAGGAAGAATCAGAGGGCCATGCTCATTAGAGCTTACAATCTAAAAGGGAGGGTCAAGTGATACAAGAGGTGATAACTGTGGGGAATGAGCTGATGGAGAAAATGGAGATACAGTTGTTAGGTACAGGCTGGAAAGGCTTCTCTAAAGAGAAGGGTTTTCAGGGATCATCTAAAAGAGGACAGAGTAGAAGATAGTTGGGCAGATTGCGGTAGGGAGTTTCATAGCATGGGAAATGCTCAGGAGAAGTCTTGAGGTGAGCATGGGAAAAGGTGAAAAGAGAGCTACAACAGGAGGTCTTGAGAGAAACGTAGAGAATGATTTGGTTGGTATTTTGAGACTAGATACTGTAAGTGATGTAGCTCAGATCAGTTCAGTTAGAATTTGCTCTAACTTCTATGCTGAATGATATCTGCTTAGAAGCAAACAAATCCATGTATATTAACCATAAGAAAACAAGAAGATAGTAGTGATGAGAATAAACATACAGGGGTAACACCCTGCCAATAGGATGTTAAAACAAACACAAGATGGCAATGTCCCAAAGAACAGTGGCATTCACATTCTGTATAGCGGCCCCATGGAACTTGTATGCTGAATCATGGGACTTTTTTAAGGAACAGTGTAGTAAAGAACTAAATTTCCCAGAGGAGCTGGTGTGTGGGTGGAGGCATATATACAGTCATGGCCGAAATTGTTGGCACCCTTGATATTTTTCCTGAAAATCAAGTATTTCACACAAAAAAGGTATTGCATTAACACATG